TCGGCCTCAAATCATACATATCAAATAGGTTCCAAATAGTGTGTCTAAGTACACTTTACATATAGTAAGGCAAGAATGGCATATTGAACCTAACTACGTAGTACATCTTTACAAGCAAAACTTAAACATGATAACACTTACATGTGAACAAGAATACTTTGAAGGAAACATCAAATCTCCAACCCTCCTAAGGTAAGTACAAATCTCAGAGTCTTGAATCCTGTACCTGAACAATACCCCCAGTAACTTCAGGGTGAGTAAACAAGTTTACTCGTAGGAAATGAGCATGCATCGACTTGATTTCTTATAGATTTTTACATTAACATGGAACAATTCAAAAGGGTTATGCCACCTAACGTCTATGTCAAAGGTGAGACTCAGGGAGCATCCTAAGCTACCGTAGAATATAAATCAACAAGAATCATGATATATATACATATATGAAACGAATCAAGGTTGGGATAATCCAAAGAACACGATAAGAAGGATACTTGAATATAGATCAACATGAATTACATTGTAAATACAATTGAGCATGATTTGGAATAATTCATACAACACGACAAGAAGATACTAGAATACAAAGATCATATTGCCAATGCAATTTACATGATTGGAACATTCCAATTAACACAATAAGAAGAATACATAAAATCAAGGATAATGCATAATATCTATGTAATGAAACAAGATTAGAGCATTTCACATAACACGACAAGTTTTAAATCTTCAAGGAATAGCAACTTGAAATTTAAAGAGTGAAATCAACCAATGTGGATACTCAGATATCGCCCGGATTAAACCCGTACTCTTGGGATCACTTTAGGGCTACTAACCCACGGGTACCTTCCCCTAGTGCGCACTATAGTGTAGGGAGCTCTCTCTGTCTCCATACTAGAACCAAGTCCTAGCCATGTCAACTCTTGATTGATATCCCAAGTCCCAAAATTAACAAGTTGTGCAAGTCAAGATTGTATCAAAATACAAGAAATGCATTAACCACGTTTCATGCACAACCAAGATTTTGGAACATACAAGTCATGCCCTAAGTTCTCAACTATGATGGCATGTGAAATGTCAAGAAATCATAGTGTGCATCTATATAAACTAGAATCAAGATATATAGTACAAGAAATCCATTAAAGTAAATATACCACAAGTATAAGATACATGATTCAATTACTTACTAAACAACATATGAGTAATTAAACCATTCTAAGATAATTATTCAAGTCTATGAAGTACATTAATGAAACCAAGATACAAGGAGTCTAGATACATGATAAAAAGCTAAAAGCTCTATGAAATACAAGTTACAACCATGTGAACTAAGTTCCATACAAGGAAGATAAGTAAATGTAAGTCTCAACTTATCCGATTATTCTCAAATTCATACACGTGAAGGAACTTGTCAAGGAAAACATGAATACCTAATTAGAAACTTAATCAAACTCATGGGACCATTGAATGGATTTTAATTAATTCATTTAATTAAAATCTCTAGATTTTGAAATTCATCAAAATGATCTCAAATTAATATATATTATACAACATGTCAAGACTTGATTTAAAAACATGATACAAGTGAATTCTAAGCAAGATACGGCCATGAGTATTAAACTTTAATACTAGAAAATAATTAAATGAAGGGTTTCAAAACCTAATCAAATGTTCTCGATTAAATATATGTGAAAGTATATAGAATGCACATCAATAATATCAAGTCAGAAATCCAATGGAGTGAATTGTGCACATAGAATAAATTAATTAATCAAATTAATTAAATATTACTAGATTTCAAAACATCTCCGATTACTCTCAAATTTACCTATGTTGAAGAGCTTGCTAGGGCCTAATATAATATAACAACACATGTTAATTTCAAGCTAGTTAAGGCCACATGAAGTAATCTTTCATTCAACAAAAATATTAAATAAAATCTTTAATATTGTCTAAATGCTCTCAATTTAATATATGTCAATGATCATATCATGGGGTAATTTAATATCATGCCACGTGTATAAACTAAGCTATAACCAACCGGGAGAATCAAATCTCATACAAGAAAAATAAATAATAAAGTTTCTAGATTTTATATCAAAGCATGTAAATAAGTTGCATAAACATCACTAGCATGCAATACATCAAGAATAATAAACTATAACACCCCCTACCTCAATTTGAGATAAAAATCTCAAATCCCCACCGAATGAAAAGTGCTCTGAATCCGACGATACTTTGGGGTTATGTCGGGGACAACGAGAGGACCATTAAACACCAAGGAGGTACCATGAAAATCCAAACTTTAAATTGAAACCTGAACTCAAAAATGGTCAGAAATGGGTTCTAATAAGGGGGAAAGATCCACGTCATCAAGGCGAGCAGTAAACGTTAAGGCTCGAAGCTTTTTACAAAAAAAATCAATTGGAGGAGAAGAAGAAAAGGTGGCAGCCAAAGGGGCTGCCATGGCTGCCAGCCAAAGAGGGAGAAAGATGATGGAAAATCTAATTTTTGACTTTAAGACATTATATTTATAGTAAAACCTTAAAAGTGCCCCGAAAGGGTCCCCAGGTCCGGAAAAGTGAAATTTGAGCAGACGTACGTGCTCAAATGATGAAACTCTGTTAATAAAAAAGAACCAAAATGAGAAAATATGAACAACAGAAGAAAAAACGTCAAAAACTGAGTCCCGTGCATAGAGATATGCTCCGAACAAGTTCGGCGGCAACCGGGTCCAGAAACCCTGAAACTGGAGAAAAATGACCAGAAGGAATTTCTAAGAGTACACGACTTGACAAAATGAGAAAATGAATCCTGTACGAGGATCCAGGCTCAAAACGAGGTATTTTACAATAACTTTTGTTAATTGCAAAATGGCCCATCTAAAAAGGGTTAACTGCACTAATGACCCAGAATGAAAATTTCTTTAAAAAATATTTTCTTAAAAACCCCTGAAATAAAATATCTTTAAAAGATATTAATAAGAAAACACCCCAAGAAAAGAAAAAGATTCTAAAGAACTGTGCATCCATGCCCCTACGGACACCAGGAGCAACTAGAGTACTTTTCTGCAAAAGTAAAGATACGTATTTCGTGAAAACCACTTAGGATGAGGGCATGTGAAGTCAAAAAATAACTTCAAGCATGAGAAGTGAGGTTGTGCCAAAAAGTGACAAACAAAGAAAAGACAAAATAGAGAAAAAGACGAAAAGTGAATACTGTCAAAAAAGTGAAAATATGGAAATGACTCGGTCCTTAAAGGAAGTTGTCAATCCAAGGAAAGGAGTCTCAAAAACTATTTCTGAGCACTCGAGACGACACTAAGTGATGAGAAACTGAACTTAGAAAAGAAAGAACAACGGAAAAAAAAAAATATCCGTAAAATTCTGAGAAAAAGGAAAGAAATGAAAATGACCGAGTCATTACAGGGATAAAGTATCTTGTCTACACAGATGCTTCTTTGCAAGCTCTAGGGTGTGTTTTGATGTAGGAGGAGCGACCAATTCCATATGGATCTCGTAAGCTTAAGCCTCATGAGCTTAATTATCCAACACATGATTGGGAGTTGGCAGTTGTAGTCTTTGCCTTACGTATTTGGAGGCATTATATGTTGGGAGAATCTTTCAGATTATTTAGTGATCACAAAAGTCTGCAGTATCTGTTCACTCAGCAAAAGCTGAATATGAGACAGCACAGATGGTTAAAGTTTGTGAAAGATTATCATTTCTCTATACAGTACCATCCAGGGAAAGCAAATGTGGTGGTAGATACACTCAGTCGTCAACCTTCCGGGAGTCTTTCTGTATTGTTCGCTACTAAATGGAATGCGTTGAAGACTGTGGATTAGTTGTTTGATGCTTTTATGGCATGCATGGTAGTTACACCTTCAATCATTCATAAGCTTTTGAAGGCACAACTCACAGATCAGCAATGCATTGATAAGGTTGCAGAGATAGCTTCTGGAGAAGTTCCATTTTACTATATTGGGACTAAAAGAGGTTTAAGGTATAAAGGGCATTTAGTAGTACCTTATGCTAATGATTTAAGGAAGGATGTGATGACGGAGACTCATCATTCTGAGTTTTCGGTTCATCAAGGAGGAGACAAAATGTATCAGGATATAAAGCGGCAGTTTTGGTGGGCAGGTATGAAAAAGGACATTGCTATTTTTGTCTCTCAATGTAGTACTTGTCAGATGGTCAAGATTGATCATCAGAGGTCGCCAGGAGCTCTACAGCCACTACCTATACCGGAGTGTAAATGGGAGAGCATTTCTATGGATTTTGTAGAGGGATTGCCTAATTCATTTAAGGATCACAATTCCATTTGGGTTATCATTGATAGGTTGACTAAATCAGCTCATTTCTTGCCTATTCGGACTGACTTCACTTTGAAGCAGTTGGCGAGACTATACATTACAGAGATTGTGAAATTACATGGCATTCCGTTATCTATTATATCAGACAGGGATTCGAGCTTTGTGTTAAGATTTTAGAAGAGTTTTCAGCAGGCTTTGGATACAGAGTTACATCTTAGTACTGCTTACCATCCTCAAACTGATGGACAAACCGAGAGAGTTAATCAGATTATGGAGGATATGCTTCGTTCTTGTGTCCTTGACTTTAAGGGTTTCTAGGAGGACTATTTGCCACTTGTGGAGTTTGCATATAACAATAGTTTTCAGAAGACTATTAGTATGACACTATTTAAGGCTTTATCGATCTCTTATTTGTTAGATGGAGGTTGGTGAGCACAAATTTTTGGGTCCTAAGTTTATTAAGGATACCTCTGAAAATATTGCTCTTATTAAGGATCGTATGTGCACTGCCCAGAGTAGGTAGAAGAGTTATGTAGATCATCATACTCGTGCATTAGAGTTTCAGGTGGGAGATCATGTTTTACTTAAAGTGTCTCATATTTTACTCAAAGTGTCTTCTATGAAAGAAGTAATGCGCTTTGGGAAGAAAGGGAAGTTGTCACCCCGTTTTGTCGGTCCTCTTATGAATACGGATCGAATTGGAGCAGTGGCTTATCGCTTAGCACTTCTGGACCATTTAGATCGTGTCCATAATATGTTCCATAGTTCTATGTTGCGGAAATTTCTTCGCGATGAGGATTGTTATCAGCATATTGACATTGGTAAGATTGAGTTGCAGCCGGATGCAACTTATGTGGAACCACCCTATCGTATTGTCGACCGTATCAATCAAATTCTTCGTAATAAGGTCATTCCTTTAGTACGTATCCAGGGGAGTCATCACAATGAGGCTGAATCTACTTGGGAACGGGAGGACATCATTCGCTCAACCTTTCCAGACATCATGGATGAAGGTAAGGGTGAATTCCGAGAATGTAATTTCTTTTGTTAGGGGGAAAGAACGTAATACCCCTAATTTTAAAAGGATAGTCTTGGTATTTTTATTAATTATTTAATTGTGTTTTGATTCTTTAACTGATTATGTGTTTTATTAGGAATACCTATTTATTGATGTGTTTCTGTTTACTTAAATGTTAGGTGTTTTGATATGTAATTGTTTATTTAAATGTTGGGTATTTTCTTTAAAAATAATGTTAGGAATTAATGTTTTAAATGATGGTTTTATTTTATTTTATTTTATTTTAATGGTTATGAATAGTAGTTACGGGCCAACCAATTAAGTTCCATGAACTGCTTAGAGAAGGGGTATAATTAAATAATATATACTTAAAGAAGGTCCTTTGGAGATAATCTAATATATTTATTTTATTTGGATAAAAATAATATACATAGATTATACGTAATTTTTTTTTTTAGTTACCTTTTTAGTGTTTTTAGTTTATTTTCTCTTTCTTAATTAGATGTGGATTGGGAAAAGGAATAGGGTTTATATGTAGCCTCTATATATGTCTCTATAGGGTTGGAAAAGGGGCTAGAAAATATATCATGTTTATTATTTTAGAGAGAGAATGAGGAAGGAGGGAGAGGAAGAAGAAATGAGGCTAGGGTTTTATCAAATTCTAAAGGCAAGTTCTCTGTTCTACACTTCTCCTTAGATCAGTAATCTATATACCTCTAGTATAACTTTAGGGATGTTTAAAACATTAATTAAAATTGGAATTCATGTTTTAATTAAATCTAGAACTAGGTTTCATAAACTTGTTGTTCATGTTTGTTCTGGTGTATAAGTTGACAAATTTATGATTTATGGGATTACATTATGTTTTGTTTCATGTTGTATACAATGCTTTCATATCTGTATATTGATGGAATGTAGAAACATGCCTAGGATTCCTGAAACAAATAAAGAATGAAAGCACTGTGATATTCTGGGTTGATTAGCGTAACAGTGTTTGGACCGTTGTTACAGTGCTCGAGCCTTGGGGGAAAAGCTCGAGCCTTGGGATGAAAAGCTCGAGCACTTGGTTGTAAAGCTTAAGCAACTGGTTGTGAAGCTCAAGCAATTGGTTGTAAAGTTTGAGCAATTGTAAGGATAAGCTCGAGCAATTGGTTGTAAAGCTTGAGCCTGAAGTAGGATGCTCTAGCCTTGGATAGGGTGCTCGAGCAATTGAGACAAAAGCTCGAGCCTTGCCTGGAGAAGTCTCAGAAACAGCGTTGTAGGGATTTTATACTTAACTTGAGCTGTCTTGAACATCAATTAAGGACTAGGAATGATTTAAATAAATTTTAAACAAAGTATGGAGAATGCTTAAGTGATTGTATAGCAAAATATATCAATATGTTTAAGATTCAGTATGTGTAGGATATGTGATATAGGAAGCTTTAACAAATTATAAGTTATCCTATTTTGTGTTAGCATGATATAATATTATTATGTTTAACTTTGGATTATTTGATGAACTTCTGAAATTATTACATCAATTATTGGATTGTATGGATTTAGTGCACCAGTATAGGCTGGTGGCACTCTAGGAATGGATTAACTTATCAGTTAAGTCATACCTATTATATAAGGGAACGGATTAACTAAAATGTTAAGACCTACTTATATTTGTGTCAGGTCAACTGAACAAGTTGAATGACTAACTGGATTACTGGATATTTATACTTATGTCATGTCAAGGCAATGAACAGTTGAGCGGCACTACTTTGGATGTGGATAGATTATAAGTATATATTTATGGTACCACTATATGAGCTTGAGTCTCAGGATCAGTGAATAAGGTGCGTATATTGTCAATAATGTGTAGCTAGATATAGTGCAGTTGTATGCCCTGGTAGATCTAGGTACTCATGCCCACTACATATGCGTTTTGCATGTTGCCTACTATTCAAGTTGAGGCAACCCTATAGTCTAGTAAGGTTCCTTTAGTGTGTATATATATGTATGGATTATATAGTTATTGCATGGGTTAGCTATGGATGTATAGTTTTTCGGTCTCTATTTGTGTTATCGTAGAAAGAACTTATTCGTGGACCTGTCCCACTATTATTTTTTTCAAGTATTTGTCAGTTCCAGACATAGAGTTTGTCCGTGCTGAGCAGAGATGGTCCACATCATTCTTCCGGTTCTACGTAGGACTCTTTTCATGTTTTAGTTTATGATTATAATTATTTTCAGTTAAGTTAGTTGGATTATCATTAAGGGTTCACTAGATGGATTCCCGAGTTGTAATGATTTAATATTTAGAATTCTTTTATTTGGAGATTTTATTATTTAGTTTTCTTTTCTGCTATTTTATTTATTCTTAGATATTTCTTTTGTATTCTGTATTCATTTACGTATTTTATTGTTTGGTATCCCTCGGATCTCTGCTCAGACTTGATCACCCATGGATCTAGAATCAAGGGGTATCACATAAACCACTTTCCATGCACAAGTAATTTGAAACCACACAAACCTCTTAGGGTTCCAAATCTAGAATGGCATAATAAATGACAAGTCTTCATCATGATATAATGTACAATATATTACCATTAACTTATCAATTTAAATCACACCACAACAATAAGTTTTATATACTAGATTATAGCATTGTAGTAATAGGCGTCTAAAATAATTACCAATAGTAATCAACAAAAATATAGAATTATCACCACAATAAATATAGCAATTCAAGTCAATAAGAATTGGATATAACCATAATAATTCTACACATGATAAATTCATATCATACATGCATAAATTAATAAATCCTAAGTCAAAAGTGAGGATTTCCTATAATATGCAAGACTACAATACTAAAAGCATGTACACAATATATATTAAACCCCAAAGGAATATAAAACACTTAAAGTATAAACATACTACCACCCCTACCTCAATAGAGAATTGAATCTCTATAATCCAAAGCAACCAAACATAGAATGGAAAAATAAACTAGGGTTTTGTAGAAGAGAGTGAGAGGAAACTTTTACTTCCCAAGGTTTAAAGTCTAAGGTGAGTGGAAGGGGGCCAAAATGAAGTAATAAGCTCTGAGCCAAGCTTTTTTTTAATGGTGGCTAGGTTAGGGTTTTGAGAATAATGGGAGTGAGAAAGATGAAATGAATGTGGTGAGTGGAGGATCTAGTATTCCTTCACTCACTATGTACTCTTACACTACCTCTCACACACACACTAATGCAAGACTAAATTTGGAACCTACACTTGTCACTAATCCATGGCTCCTTCTTAGGCTTAATCCTAAGCCTACACTTGTCAACCATCCAAGCCAACAAGTGCACTTATCCTAGGCCAACAGGTGGGTGAATCTCCACCCTCCACATGTCACAAGATTATGCTTCCAAGTAATTCCACCCCAATGCCAACAAATGGCTCCATGATAATGTGACACTTGTCACACTTTTCAAAAATTGTAAAAAAGTCATTTTCCAAAATATCTTCCAAATTAAATTACAAAATGGTCCCTAAGATGAAAAATAATTACTTTACATAATTACACTAAAACCCCAAAAATCAAGAATGTTTCCAAGAAACTATGCATCCATGCCCTTTACGAAAAAACAAGTAGCTAGCATGCTTTCCTAAGAAAGTAAAAATACAAATATCTTGAACATCAAATATTATGGATGCATACAAAGCCGGAATCAAATCCGAGCACAAAAAGTGAGGTTATGTGACGAGCCCCTTTCCAAGTGTTTAGAAACCGGACTTTTTAATGTGAGAGACCGATTCGCAAAGTCAAAATATGAATGTGGTTTCGGAAGCTTTTCTAGTCAAATTTACATTTATAAAAAACACTACTACAACTAATGAAGTATAGTGAGTAGGGATTGTCCACAGAGATTAGACGTGTTGGAATTTAACTTTGACTCTAATGTATCACAAGATTGCAAAGAGATCTGACGAAATGATTAAACTACTTCAATTAATGAAAATGCAATTAAAATAAAACTAAGTTGAGATAGGGATTTAAGAGATATGAAGAGATGTCTTAGGGTGTTGGAATCACCACTAAGCTCGTGTAATTAACCACTTGCTTTCTATTAATGGGGAATACATTATTGTGAACAAAATGCGACTACCAATTGCAATATTAAGCATGGACCATCAAATTCATGTATGAATTGTCTACCTAACCAACAAATAAACTAAGTGTAGAAAAACCCATCAATTCTAAGCATGACCCATCAAACTAGTCACAATTGTAGCACACTTCAATCTAGAGAATCATAGAATTTGTAATAATAAGCCATGGAATATCAACTCAAGTATAGGTTATCTACCTACCTACAAGCATGAATTAAATTGTAGAACAAACCATCAAGCATAAGAATAATCCATTAAATTAATTGACAAACCCATTCAATGAAAACCCATGTTTAGCCATCACTAAATCCTTAATTAATCACACATAGACATACAACCAACATAGAGAATCTAGTGTAGAGATCAATTCCCCAAATAATCACACATAATACAACATGTAATCAAATAGAGAATCAATAGAAAGAATTAATCCATATGAATCATGTAAGAAATAATTCCTAATTTAATCACACATAGATATGTAAATAAACTAGCGAATTAATAGGAAGAATTAAACTATAGATATCATAGAAACATACCAAGATTCATTAAATTCACAAGGCTAGAACACTAATCACAACAATATATATAAATCCCCAAAAATAGAAATACAAGGGTTTAGATTACACAAGACTTAGGGCTCATCCAAGCCCTAAGTGTAGATCTAGCCAATCATGGACGAGGTAGATGTGGTCATGAAACCCTCAAGGGTAAGCTCCAAACATGGCTCCATCTTCTTCTTTTTCTTCTTTGAAGCTCTAGAGAGAGAGAGAGAGTGGATCTAAATATGGATCTTGAGATGTGCCTCCACTTCCCTCTTTTCTTCTAACCTTAATCTCTAACTTTCTAGAGAGAGAAACTAAAGAGAATATAGAAATTACAATCTAAAAAATGAATCTCTAAACAAAAAAAGTTGAATCCCTCTTATATACAAGGCTTTGAGAGCCCAAATATGTGAGAACTCAGCCCTAGAATCTCTTCTTTGAAGCTCTGCCCGAGTTGGTTCGAAATGAGATTCAGAT